ATAAAATTCTGAAATCGAAATAATCTAGAGCAACCGTTAGGGATAGCCTTGATAAATCAAGGTCATGACCCTAATAGATCCTAGAGAATCATTCTTTTGTAGATTGCATCATACAAAGAGGAGAATCAGAAGTTAAGGACCACATGAATCGACTAAAGCCTGCTTCCGTTCTGAATGCAGCTTAGTATGCCTCGCTATAGGATTATACCAATTCTTCTATACCCCAATCTCCAAATCACGCGAGAACATAAATAATATCAGATACTTTAAATACAAGTTCAAATTATTGGTAACGCACCTCGAGAATCATTTTCTAGTGAATTAGATTCTATTGATTCAATTCTTTACGAAACCATATTTTCATATAACCGAAATAAAGCGGTGATCAGCCATAAATGATGCAAGATTATATCGAAGATTTCAGGCAAGATGCTACCCTACATGATGACCAACGAACGTTAAAAGAAATTGCGAACAACGAAAAATTCAGACAGAAAGCGCTCTCTTTAATAGGTCGCGTGCACGATGACCGACCCTGAAGGCAAAATATTGAAACACAACCTCACTCTTCTGTGAATTATTGAAACACAACCTCACTTTTCCATTTGTTTACAGAGGAATCAAAGGGTTGAAATAGTTTTTCACAATATTTTGGCATAAGAATCGTGTTGCTTGCGTTATTCATTAATTCAAGCATGCCTTCTCATTGTGCTGTTCTACAATGCACAAAAAATGCAGCAAGAGACTAGGGAATATGATTTTTCAGGTAAATAGTAATCTCACTTAGTTATCATTATGGAATGTTGTCATTCCTTATTGAAATTCCTTCTGCCTTCTGCCACTTCTGCAATACAAGCTAATACTGCTAATAGATTGAAAATGTCTACAACACACACGATCGTCAGCATGTCAGACCAGTCCTCCCGATTGATTGCATGAATCCAATTTTATTGCATTATTCAGCATTATTCTCGAAATTTCAGATATATTTCTATTAGCTCTTATTGCAGAAGGAATTCCGATGAGAAATCAGAGGAATAACCAAATTTCTAAAATGAAAGCTATATGTGAGTGACTATAGTAGGTAGTTACTTTTAAATCATAATGTACCATTTGGATTCCTTCATCTTCCGCTGCAGTTTTTGTGCCTTTTACAACAGCACAATGTGATGGCATGAGCGAATTGATGAATAGCGGAAAAATGCGATTCATATGCCAAAATAATTTTGGAAAACTATTTCCATCACTTGTAAACAAATAAGAAAAGTGACGTTGTGTTTCAATGTTTTGCCTCCAGCGTCGGTCATTTGAACAGTTCTTGCACGCAACCCATATGATGGAATTAATTTTTTGAGGTTGATTCGGAACTTTAGATTCAGACGATGCGGAATATTTCAATGTCACTAAAAATGAAGCTGAAACAAATGACAATCCTATAACACAATCACTAAGAGACCAGATCCACATTTTCAGAACAACAACAACGAATTATAACGAAACCATTATAGATTCGAATCGCGATAAAAACTTTGATTCTGTTTCAAACTATATATAGTGCCAATATTGAAGAATTTAAGCGAAAAATTCAAATACACCTCATTAGATCAATATTCTCCATAACGGAATTGCAAAGCGAATATTCCACACTGATAAACGCCTTATAGTTCACGAAATCTATCAATCTGCACCCTTATATGATTTCATCAGAACAATTGATCAAAAAATCATGAAAAAACCTTGAATTACTTACCATCCACAAGTAACTATCCATTAAGTAATTAATTGATATTGGTCGAAGCTCATGTGAAGAATCAAAAATGAGTAGGAGAATAGTTGTAAATCACTTGCTATTGTTATTCTTCGATCCTTCCACTCTGTTTTCTTATATAATAAATTGTCATTTAGTGTTTTTTTGCTCTTGCTGAGATAGGAGATGGATCGTAATAATCTTCATCTGGTATTTTTATTTTCTTGTCTATATTTCTTTCACGAGAATGAACTGGCGCCCATTCCACTCAACACAATCAAAATTCCATCCTGATAGCACAAAAATTGCCTACAGAAGGATTGTCCAAAGAATTCCCCCCTCAAGAATTTCATTGCTTCGAAATGGTTTTTTGCTGTTTTTTTTCTATTCCTATCGATTTCACAACCAAACCAAGAGGATGCGACAATTCTACATGACAAAATTTGGAGACTTCTTTCTAGAGCAATACTTTCCATAATAAATCGTAACGGAATTTTATTTTCGAGAATTTTTTTTTTACTGAAACGTGAAATATGAGGACTCAATCATTCATGAGTATAATTCTGAGAATGCTCATGCATCAGCAAAACATTCATGTTTGGGAGGTCACTATACAGTGTGTCTCACTACTGATGGATATACCCTTGCATTACCTATCCATAGGTTCCTATCCTTAGATATGCGAAAGAACTATTCTGAAACTTGCTCGAGCGAGAAAATATCATCGGACATATATTAGGACTCAGACTATACAATTCTCTTCCCGATGAATTAAAATTGATCAATGAACTGCATACGTTCAAAAATAGAATGAAAATGCATCTCCTCGACCTCTGCCCTTATAGTTTTAACGAATTTTTTTAATACCTGTTTGTTTGTCTACTTGGACTGTATGTTTTATTGTATATCATATATCCAAATATTTGTACTGACTTGACTTTTCCGATAGCATATAACTTCTCTTTGGATCAAATAAACTCGAACTTGAACTTGATTCTGATGCATTTTCAATTGAATTAATCTTTCTATTGTGAAATCGAAATAAGAATACAGACAAAATCGCAAAATACCATTCTGGGGCAAGATTTTCTACGTTTAAATAGCTGACAAATGGCTGGCGTAGCCCTCTACCATAAGGTCACTATGTATAGGGTATTTGGTAATTTGATTTTGAAAATATTATATCACCATATATACTATTAATCAAAGTGGTACGCTCTTCTAGAGATCATCGCGTATACATTCGAAGTTGATGGATGTTACAGAAAATTGGTTTTCGAATTCTAACGAGGCAAAACATTTTCTTACCACATTTATGACATCGAGGAAATTATGAGCCAAAGGATGCATATAAAATACACGGATACAAACAACCCCACGCTGTAGGACAATCAACCTCGAACTGGCGAGGGTAGATGAAGAACCACATGAAATAAAATCTGATTCGACTATCAAAGAGCAGTATGATTTTTCACTCTAGTTATTACGAATTCAACAAATGAAAAAAGATGCAATCAAATAAAATGTTTGAAAAAACGATGATATCTCGAAAATCGTGACACTTCGTAAAATGGTATATAAGGTTTAATATATTCGAAATGTTCAATGCTCGATAACATGAAAACAATCAAATTGTGATATTTCCGGAACTCTGACGATATTTCTCATCAATTTCGGGCAATGTTTCGTATGATTTGTATGTGAATAATCATAAGAGGAATAAAAAAACTTCAAGCGCAAAAGAAGTATGGGTTGTTCTGAACCTCCAGATAGTTTATATGGAACAAATGAATATCGCTGGTATGAGGAACACCAACATCGTTATGAAACACCCAATATATTTTTAGAAAAAATTCGAGACCATCCATTCCTGATTTCTAAAATAACAATATTTTGTCCATTGAAACTTGTGTCAGCCGTTTTCGAGATATTCGAGGTTTTACATTTTACATTTAGTTATAATCTGATTCTACCAAATTGCAATTGTCATGAAGCACAGCACATTCGCAGGTTGTCATCTATTCAACTTTCTGTCATTCGTTCATCGAATAGTAAAAATTTTGCTGGTTCAGAATGAATAATTTCGAAATGCATTGATATAATATACTGAACAATTATCTTTCCAACTTCATTTACAATTGAATAAATGAATTGAATAGATACTACTTACAGAAAATGTATACAGACTCGGTAATATTGCATTTTATCTTGAATCTTCTTCTCCTTCAGCTTTGCTATGATAGTGCGTTTTTTCATAGCAATTGCGATTTGGTGAAATGAAATCCTAACTAAATGTAGAATATTCAACCTCGACTATTCTGGAAATGACTGAACCAAATATCAATAACGAATATACCAATTGTTGAAATCAAGATAATAGGTTGTTAATTCTGTTCGAAATAAAATAAATTGAGGTTCAGAACGAACCCTACAATTTTTGTATTTGAAGTTCGTTTCTATCTTCAATGATGAACTCTGTAGAACATGTTCAAATATACGGAATGACCATGTACTCAACATACAGGGTGTAATTCAATTGTCAACTGAAAATAAAGGATATGGTTCCTCAGCTCATTTTGAGTTGATTTGAACATATATGCTCTTTACCTCTCAACTTTCGAGCTATAGGGTATGAGGATTTCAGGAAAATATAAGTTTTCTTATAACAACGATACTGTTCTAGATCATTGAATTTATCAAGCTCCTACTCAGCTCCAATACGCATTTTCAGATGCTGATGGTTTTTCAATATTTCTACCAGTAGCGTCCGTATATGGAATGTATCCTGGAGACTTTAATAAAATATATTGTATGCCCTCGATTTTTCCGAAAATTAAAATCAATTTGGGAAACCTCATTTCATTTGCAACAACTTTTTTTGTCCGGTCTCATTTGGACAAGTATTCATGAACGTGACAATTTCTTCAACAATTTCTTCAATCAATAGAAAAGATAAAATTTCGACACCATATAGCTCGATAGTTAAGGGGAGCTAAGGAACCATATCCCATATTTTGAGCAATCAATCAAATTACACCCTGTATTATCATTTTCCAGAACTGGTGGATTCACCCAAGGGTGTTTGTGTGACATAATAATTCACTCTTTACTTGCTGTTCATTATGATAGAGTAGAATGTTGGTAGTGCTGACTGTATGATTCCGTCTTTGATTGAAGTTTCAACAATTGAGAGTTAGCAGAACGGCTCGACATAAACCTATTCATAATTTGAGTAGATTATAAATGATCTCACCTTTCGTTTTATAAATAACAACTGCAACAGTCAAGTGAACTTCTCCTGGATGAAGTGCAGGACTGGACGATATTGAGTAAAATCTTGGTTGCAAAATACTGAGTTGGGCAATCAGTAGCGGGGCGAATGGCGTAACAGAAGGAAATTCTTCCAATACATCTAACAAGTGGGGGAATCTCCAATGCCTCCAGTCTTCATATGTTGCTGAATCCTGTTCAATTACAATACAATATTATGGTTGATTACTCGATTGAGGATGAGAGGCCAATCTACTGGTAATTTGTTTGTTCGATAAATGCTGTGTGAATTATAGAACTGATCTGAAATTGAAGTATATCAGGGTAAACCAGTAGGTCACCCTTCTATATCTTCGCAGTAACGACCAAATATTGCAAATTCAATCAATCTGTTTGGAGAACACAAATGAAGAATCACCTATGTAGGTATGTATATAACTGGGTAGTTACCGAAGTATTTATATCATTGATGACATTTTTGGTTCAGCAGATTTTTCGAGTCAATGGAGAGTATGGTTCCCCTGAGAAATTGAGAATCAGTACTCCAACCACATAGGTATCAGTATTCATCGATTTCAATTCACAATGTTCAAATATAATGATGATTCCAGGAAGTTCAAACATAACATATCTACTTCTTTATATTGGGTGAATCGAAAGTTAATTGTATTGTTCAATCACAATGATAATCTCGATCAGATAAATGAACTGAATGATGTTCAGAAAGAAAAATTCGAAGTCAACTGGCACAAAATTGGTCGATGTGCATCAAATACAGAATAAACATTCAGCATGCTCGGTCAGTAAGAAAATTCTAGTGAGTACTGTGAATGATGTGATGAAAATTCTGCAGAAAGGAGAACAGTTTTTCATGAATACTTGAACATCAATTGCATATATTCGTTATATTATGGGCTGGTCGACTGGCTATGACAACATTCCATAAAACGCATTGACAATACTTTTTGCCAACAACTGTCTCCAACAACTGTGGAGAGTTGTATCACTTGAAAGTCAACGTGATCTACTCACTGTTGCTAGTAGATTGAGTTTTTTCTGTTCTTCTTCATTGGTCGCCATGGATGCGAAGTGTTGTAACAGATTCGGTGTGGGAGGAGTAGTGATATCCAAATATCTACTAAACAACTCCCTCACCGAACAAGCTGGTAACCTTTCATGTGGTTTCCAATTCTTGATTATACCTGGAAGGAAATTATACGTCAACTCAATGAGATTTGAATTTTCAAGTGAACTGAAACTGAACTGAAATATATTCATTTCGAATGACATGCCTTTTTCGATACTGAATAACACTCAGAACCATCTCCCAAGACAGTAAACGGTGAACAATAATACATCAGAGGATACATTATGTTCTGGACATACATATACATATGTTCATCATCAGCCTTATAAAAAACAGTCTCACAATTGACATAAAAAGAGTATTAAGAAGATTCCATACCATGAGATCACATGAAGTTGGAAATTATTATAAATCTCATTATATGAAACTATGGAAACACGTCATTCCTTGCTCGCACAAGTCTTTCGAAGACTTCTGAGGGTTGCTCGTAAGGGGGCAACCGAATGACGGATAGAACAATTTTAGAACAACAATTTTGAAACAATTTTTTTTTTTTTTAATTTTTTTTAAAAACAATGTGAAAATCATACAATTCTGAGATTTGATGAAAAAATCTGGAAAAACCCACAATATAACATTATGGCGGATCAAAAGTGAACCGCCCCCATAATATATGGGCCACCAGGTAAATGAAGAAAAAAATATACCGACTGCCATTTTTGGCTAGCAATCAGCAAGTGGAAGTTATAAACTAGATGATCTGAAAGTGATGCCAAATGACCCATGTTCATGTTGTTTCAAATAATGTAATTCATAATAATTTTCAATCAACAATTTTTTCAAGTCCATGTAAGTGATCTGTAGTGTACTGTAGTGAAATACTAAGGTGCTTCAATTTGATATTGTCAAAGACGTCACTCGTCAGTCGAATCGTTGAAAGAAATGGCTGAAATTGTAGAGCGTGATGAAGTTCTGTTCCTTTGATATGTTGTTAGTACCAATGCTAGCTTCGTAATACGTTTAAAACGGCGAAATATTTGCACTTCTCTCAAATTTTGCATTTGAACTTTGCGATTTTCATTCAGCATATAAATTACAACTCTTGATATTGTTAGTAGCTGAATAGATTCTCATTGAAAATAGAAATTACAACTTTTGGTATTGTTTGTAGCTGAATAATCACTCAATATACGAAAAGAGCCCTGTATATAGAGTTGAAGTCAATTTATAGGTCAGGTGCACACCACCATGGCTAACCGAGAGAAACTGAGGTGGGTGCGGGAAATTTTCTCACCTTGATTTGAATTAGTCAACACCCTAACTTCCTGCTAGAATCATAATCTAACGCCAAAAATGAATTCAGAGGATCCCATTGGCCAAACAAATGGTTATGTCCCAACTTTCCGAAAAGAATTGTCCTTCTTCTTTCGTATGACCTTCCAATCCTTGACACAAGAACAATGATAGATAGTGCCAAGCAATTATAGTCCTGATCAACCCTCCATGATACAAGGGAAAAAAGTAGTAAATTTTAGCTCCAGGTTGTGTTGACTCTCGACGCGTAACGGAGGGAGACAAAAAACCGTGAGCTAAAATCTAATATTTTTCCCGTGTTCAATAGACCTTTTCTTTCCTGTGAAGGAAGAATGGACGAATCAATGTTAAGAAGATATTACATTATTTTGAAATCTGAAAATTATCGACGTGAAATTTTCAGTTCTTAACAGTAGGGACACCTGCGTTGTAGGCATCTTTATCATTCTTTTGAAGTGATCAAAAATCTGATGTTACTTCTGTCAGTCTAATTCTGTGATTTGATCCCGAAAAATTGCGAATTTAGTGGTTGTTTAGAAAGGACTTGCAGTTCTCTCTCGGAGACGGTATTATTGACCCATTTTTCGGAACTATAGCATAACCAAAGCCATCAACAGTGTATATATATGTGATATATATCCAGGAAAAAAGTTCTTCTTTCCCACAGGAAAGAAGTAATTTATGGAAAGTGACATTTTATAACCCACCAACAGAGATGAAATGCCAAACTTTTTTTCCGTCACAAAAAAAAAATTGTTGAGTAGTGTCATATATACTTTTAGGCCAACTCTGAGACTCCTTTACTTCAACTCGTTTCGAAGAAAATCATCGGATTCGTCGGTACTACAGGTATATTGAAAAAATACTGCTTGCTTTGCTGCTATAGTTTGTTTTACAGACATAAGGATCTAGTATCTTGAAATTCTAGAGAAATGTCGTTATCATCTCATTGCACAATCAATATGTGTACCTATATTATTCTTCATGGTTCCAAACTCCTATATGTAAATTTTTATATAATTTTTATGCAGTTTAAAAAAAAAGGCACATCTAAACAGTATTCTCGCGAACGTAAATAATTATTCACTCACTCGCAAACGGTGAGTTCAACAAAGAAAGTGTATCCTGTTATTTTTCGAATCATGATTTTATGCCTACCAGAGGAGCTGTTAAACGTTCCAAAATTCGTATTTTGTATAAATTCACTATTTTTGCAAGACGAAGAAGTGAAAAAAATTTAGTCAATGTCCTTAATTTTTTTCGCAAAAAAATTCCCAAGATGATTTCATGAATAAAAGTCGACCTCGTCTCAATTCTATGAAAACCGCACGGCAATGTCTTGAAGGATGTTCGTCTCTGAAAAGCTAATCATATTGATGATTATCCATACCGGTCGGAATTCGGTACCAATCGCACGACTAAGAGCTGAGATAAAGAGGGTGGGGGCCGTTTGAAGTGAGACACACTGTATATGTGTAAATGTTTCAAATCCAATTAAATCTTTCAAGCAAATAAACGACTTCTGCGATGATCATAGAATTAATCTGAATATATCTTCTCCTTCGAGAATATTTGACTTCTGCATAATCTTCTCTAATGGGTGACTGAACACAGGCTCGAAATATACAGATTACCTTAATCTGTTTAGTTAATGCAGCTGAAACAAGTTATTTAATACATGAATATTTTGATTAGAGGCAAATGATCCCTTGTGTCTCATTTATTCTCAACATTAGATGAACATCCATGTTAGAATCTCATGATGATCCAACAGATATACAAGGTGATACATGAGGAGACTCAGATAGTCAAATGGTGAATAGGAAGAATTGAGACAAGTTGATATATAATTATGAAATATTTTTTGGTCATCCTTCACGGAGATATTTCAGAATTGATTCATCTTGATTTTCAGAAATTTGGCAGCGACGTCTAATGAAAAAATTCAAGATGCCATATTATGAAGAGAAAAATCCAGATCTGCACACTCTCAATTGAAAAAAAAAGTAATCGACAGGAAGAACACAGTATACTGATTTCTTGATTATTTAAAATGTCAATTTGTTTATCCAAATTCTAGAAAGATATCACTAGCCATGACTCTATTTTATGAATTTGTATTGAAGTAGGCCATGTTCTTCATTCCATCATGTGACGTGGCGTTTTTTTTTATAATTTGTCATCATAGGGACACCCTTTCCTGCGCTCCGAAACATTGAATACATATCAGCATATTCTAGCATTTTTTGAATGCTGAACATGTCGAGAAGTCAGATGCTGCAATAGTTGATACTAAAGGAGATTTCCAGACCAAGGAATACGTAGCAAAAGAGCAAATACATCACTCGAAGAGGTGTGTCAAGAAAAAATGACGCTCAGTTCACGCGTGATATTGTATAGCTCATTTGATGAATTACCATCTTTGGCACAGGAGAATCCTCAAGTCGTAATTCTACATTTGAATAGATCATGAAAGTTCTGACTTCCGATTTTATGCTGTATATAGTGATTCAAATCGGTTGTGATTGTAAGATGTATGTACATATCTATGTTGATATTTGCGCAATGACGAAACAACGAATACACATCGCTATATAATTTTTTTAGACAACTGTAGAGGTAGTTATTTCCGAATTTATGAAATTTTGTCATTTATTTCGGCATATATAACCTACTTTTCGATTTTTGTCAGATTGGACAGAGGCTTGGGAGGTCTATTGTGACGCTGAAATAATTTGGAAGTCGATGACACTCATCGATACTCATAGTTGCCATTCAAATGTTGTCAAAAATAAAAAGATGGAGATGTATGTGTCTTTCATCCTTGTTTATTGCAATTATCATTCGAGATACCATAATGCGGACAATCAATTCGAGTCAACCTGTACAAAATGGTTGATAGAACGGTGATGTGTTTTTGAAATCAGCTCTATTGATTCAATCAGTTGACATTTGTCATAGTTTCTCAAGCATCCTATAGTAGGGACTCTGCATTGCGAATAATATTATTATTCATAATCAGTGGAACAGAAGGAATTACATAAATCGAATCATTATGATTCAATTTCATATATAAGTAGTTTTCGGATATTGTCTTTTCATCATGATTGTTGATTATGAATTTGATCGTAGTCCCTAAAGAATTCTCTAATGATTAGGTAGAACGTCAACAGATCCAACCAAGTTTCCTTCAAGTACAGGTTTTTCACGTATATTTTGAATCCCTCCTTGATTTTTTCTCATTATTGAAACGGTTGATACATTTCTATCGGCATATTATATACATTGTTAACCTTATGTTTTATTGAATTTTCTAATTCTCCATCAAATTTTGTGTGATTAGTTGAAAATCAGAGTATTGTTAATCAGTCAACCTATTTGATATGAATCAGTATGACCTATTAATGATAGCCAGATTACTAGGTACTTGTGCCAGGCAGGTTGAGAACAATCCAATAATCTATTTGTATCTGAGAGAGTTCTTTCAGCAAAATCAATCTTTTTCTTTCAGCAAATGAATGGGTTTGGCACCAATTGATGCAGATATTTGGCTGCAGTTGTGCAATTTTCTATATATATCTATAACAGCACATTATGTGAATTAACAAAATTGAAAATTACCTGAGCAACATCGAAATATATGGGCAAAAAAGATGCTGCTGCCTATAAAAAAATTGAATGAATCAATGGAATGAGAGGAGATCACAGTCCAGGATTATGTCGAATATCTCCTTGAATTCTTTGCTGCATGAATATTTCAATAAGTCAGGAAGCCTGAAACATGTTCAGCAAAAAAAACTGAAAAGTTATTCTCCTTGAAAAATGAGAGACAAGCTTTTATATTCTACAAATCATTTCATCTTCTTGACTTATGTGTGAGTTCTTATTTGCCTATTGAAAAGTGGCTGATTTCTAATTATGAACTGAGGTTAGTATTTTTTTTCTATCAAAAGTAATATAAAGCTTTCAATGAGGTAGCAGTTTTGTAATACATATATTCAATTAATCATAGTCGACAAACCCCAAGATATTATATAACATATCTCATGTGACTTTTGGTGAACGAATATGAGATCAGCATCGCTACTTCTATTGTTATATCCTTGAATATGATGTTCAATGCATGACAATTCCATAATGCATTCATGGCAAGATTTGAAATGTGTTCTTTCTCCACTCCAGCCTCAAAACCAGCATGTTACAAAGAAAAAAGAATGTTGAGACTGTGTCTGAACTAATCACGCCATCATCAGTTCAATCAAGTTTTCTATCACAATCCCAATTTTTTTCAAGTCATCTCATTTGGGATATCTGTTAGAGGAATATTGATATGAAGTATTGATTGTTGAGAGTGAATTGTTTTGTTATGATTGTTTAGTGTTCAAGCTATCAGAAGACAATCATAAGCCTGTTCAGTATGAGGACATTTTTGTAACTCCATCAAATTTCACAGATTTCAAGTGTCCACTTAATGGCAGATTGTTGTATTTTCTCGAGATATTCAATATGTCTATATTGGTCCAATACCGAAAAAATATCGAGCCAATATGATGGATGTGCTACCTGGGAATACCTGGTGAATTGAACTTAATCAATATTATTTGCAGTAGGAAACAGGTTGAAGAAAAGAAGTAGAAGGAATTGTGATCACTTCGAGTTACCATTCGATGTATGAGTTTCTTGTAGGAACTGCAGCTCCACAGGAACATTTGGATCAGTGACACCTTTCAGCCGCTTGATAACGCCGTCAACTATTTCTGGTCTGTTCATCCCGAATACTCCGAGGTGATCTCCTGGTTTGTATGGTGAATCGTTCTTGAATTCTAACAGCAGGGTGGCCTTGGCAGACTTCTCACCATGAAGGTTGGTACGCCGTAGAAGTTTCGAACCAGAGACCTTGAAAGAGAATATTGTCCATTATGATATTATAGAGGTAATTCAAACGCATAGCTCTCACTCTCATATTTTTCTCTGAATTTGGAATTCTTGTTTTTTCAATTTGCACTCGAATATTCACATACTACAACCAACTCATGCTCCTACTATGCTCATGGATCACTAGTGAGAATTTGTATTGACATGGTCGTTACTTCATGAAAGTCCAAAGTGAATGGTTAAAGCTTCACAAACGATAAGATACTCATGGATTCGTTACTAAAATAACAAGTTTATGCGGAAATGGAATACCTCTCCATACGGATTTCCAGGCACAGGTGCTAGAGGGGTTTCACCATCGGCTAAAAAAGTCCTCAAGATAGACCTGCTAATGTTACTTTCGCGGTCTAAGTAAGAACATCAAGGATGTCCATCGAAACTTTCAAATTGAAAAGCCAGACATATTAGCTCTGACTAAGACACAGGTCAATTGATTCATCAATGAGGAGGGTATCTCTATTCTGATGCGAATCTTTCATGTTATCGATGAAAAACTTTGGAACCAAATGAGTTTGATGTTATGTGGATCAAACTCAATAGCCAGAAACGGACCAAATATTTTCGTTGTCCTATGAAGAGCTCTTTGAATTCTTGTCTCTGCAGGTCGGCCAAATTCAACAAAAAAAACATCACCTTCGGAACCCTGGTTCAACAAGAATTTTCCTAGACCTGTTGCCTTTGAACAAACATCCTACCATCGCTGGCACAAAAATTTTAACCTCGCGACTTGAGCAGAATACGTTGAATCCAGGAATAACTGCAGTCTCAATGGCACCCGTTTATTTTGGTCCCTTGCTGGAGCAGTGGCAAAGCATTTCACTGATAGTCCATTTTCACTACTCTCCACAGCCAACGGCACAACGGCACATTATCAGTAACATCGCAGGAGGAAGCAAATATTTTCGCATCGATATTCGCAGGAAACCATCTTCCAGATTCCCATGGAAAAGTACCGCCAGATATTCCAACCGTTGAACAACGAATGCCCAACAACATATAATCTCCAGAAGTTCAAGAAAAATTACAATACCTACCTCCTGTCCCTATCCTTCCTAGGAACGCACGATGTTCTTTGAACATTATAGGGATTCCCTTTCGTGCGCTCCAAGCATTAAAAAAAAATCAATCTCATTACAGATTTCATTCTTATATTTCTTAAATAAAGTGTCGAGCACGTTCCAAAATCGGCAATGATACATCAACAGAGGACCCCAACCATATGCACACGGCATCAACATCATGAAAGGTCTTATCACAATCATATCAACGTGAAAAATCCAATGTGGTGGAGTCAGGAGAACGCGGAAGCCAAGCTATTATTGGCCACGTAAATTCCGAAAAGAATCGAACGTGCCACCATTTACAATTCTAAGAATGAGAAAATGATCTATAAGCTCATCTCCATCAATTCCTGCCTATACAATCAAAATCAGCTATTTCCAATGATGGAATTGCCTCATTTCATGCAAATTTCCTAGTGCTCAAACATAAGTATGGACGCGGCTGTATCTCAAGAGTTATTTGCCGTATAGGTTCCGAGAAATAATTGTTCATCATGAAAGTTGCTATAAAAAAATTGAATGTGGAAAATTCGGAAAAAAATTTCTGGGATATAAAATCTATGAAGAAACAATTGAGAGAATGATTCTGAGAATAATAATTTCCGAATGGAAGTTTTGTATGCATTGTCGAAACATTTTTCATTGCGATATGGACCAAGAAGGTTAATTGTTATCAGAGATGTACATTGGTCGGGAAATCAAATTCAGGAAACTGAAATCTCAACATTTTCTTCTCATGTCTTGGAAATCTTCAATGGAGCATAGACAGAAAATCTCAACCGAAGGCACAAGCGCTTGTCACATATCACATTGAAGGAATTTCAACGAAGTTCGGAAAATGCGGAGCCAAGCTATTTAGTCCATTGGCTACCTAGGCAAATTAGAGTAATCGGTATAATTTGGGGGTACTAATTTTTCTTGCTAACACAGGTACATGGTGATATGGGGATCACAAAAAACCATGATTGCCTCCTAAGAGTGGTAGCTAATAGAAATGGCGGTCAATTGAAGATGGCGGATCATAGCTTCATGAAAATGGCCCTATCTCAGAAAATGATTATCCGATTTATCATTTTCAGAATTCGAATGAAAGCTTATGATGTGTCTTATTTTTCAGATGCTGAAGTAATTCAGTATTCACAGTCGTTCATTGGAAAAATATGTTTCTTCATTTTTTTAACAAGTTTTAACAACTTTTCTTTTATTTATTCTCAATTAATCAAAAACTGAGTACTCTCGCAAAAAAATTCTTGGAACAAATTTTCTTGTCTCAACTTTTCTATACAATTTGATATATTCATACTACACTGAGGGAAAAAATTTGTAGCCGTTACTAAAAAATTAGTAACTACAGAAAAATTTTTTAGTACGATAGGGGACAGCAAGCATTAGTTGTTGCCATAACTAATTCTGTTTTTCTGGAAACGCCTATTTGCCTCAAATGAAAAGTTTAGTTGAGTCATCTACGACGTTGTTGTGGTAACTAATAAGCCTTTTTAAGGAATAATACCAAGTTTTATTTTCCACAATCAAGATACATAGTTATGACAATTAGATTGTTAGTACTGTTTCAATATATGTTTGTTATCACAACAAATTATCCCAGTTGGGGCAATTACCCATTTCTTCTGACGTTAATAGTGAGTGTGTTGTTACAAATTAAATATTTAATTGTGATTGAAATGGAATCTAGTTACTATTAAAAGTGATTTAGTAACGTTTGAAATATAATTTAGTTATTCTGGCAACTTAATAGTTTTATATCAATTAAAATCAAGGCCCCATTCTAATAATAACAGTTTGTATGCCATTTTCCTTCCAATTTACAATGGAATCGTGAACAGGAATACACCACACACCGTAAGTGCCACAGGCCACAGCTCAGCAAGAAGAGAGGGAATTATGAATATACACCGTGTACACGTGACGTCGGTTGGACGTTTCTCACCGTCGCCCGTCGTAAACTGAACTGAATTGTGAATAGGTATCTAAACCTGATAACTAGTGACGCACAGAAAACGATGGTAAACTGCGAATTATTATTTTGCCAACCAAATGCCAAATGGCTCAGCGCGAAGTGCAAAAAAACACCAAACAGTGATTTGAAAACACACAGAGCAGTGAACCAGCAAGAACACGACGCTCTCGGCTACACTAGACAATTATTTTATTTATTTTGTCTAAGCTCGACGACCGTGCGATCTATCCACTATCAAGATACAAGTTCAAAATAAATGATGAAACAGAAAGACAAACAGATGCAAGATGCAATTTTTGCCGGTGGGTCCCGAAGAGACGCGAGGCGGTCCCGAACGACGCAGTACAACTAAAATTATTAGTTATGGCTAAACAATTTCTGCTATGAATAATAATAAACCTTCTACGATGAATGTGTCATCAGTTGTGGCAAATAGTCAGCGGTTGTTAGTAATCCCAGAATGAGGTTTTTTAACCCCAATATGAAATTTTAATTGACTGAATAGACAACACTGTGATAATTCTGTCACAAATAGTATTTTTATTGATGACAAATAATTGGCGAGAAATAGAGAAGTCATTTGTAGGAAATAAGGATACGTTGTCATTGTTAATAAAATTCCAAATATTTTTAATTATCGGTACTAAAAAAATTCCAACTAGACGTTTTAATTAACCAGTTTTTCTCAGTGTACTGTTTTATGGCATTGTAACGGCTTCAAACTGAGTCGCAATCTACCAATGTTTCCTTATTTTGGTATTTGGGGTTCACAATGTATGTGTTCATCAATATTATAACTTACATCAATATCTCTCTATTATGTTCATAATGTTTAAACACTACTCAGAGTAGAAACTGTTGAAACATCATTTATTACAGGTTTTATTAGTGATTACCACCACTATTATTTGAATTGATTGATATTTAATACTAATAATAGTTGTAATTACTTTTTGTTACTAAGTGTGGATGTTTGGAGTAATACAGTAGAATAATTGGTAGCCGTGCGGACAGAGTGTCTATATTCTAATCCGCATTCGCTTGCCGGTCGTGGGTTCGAGTCCCGTCGACTGCAGAAATTTTTCTGATGGCCCAAGAAAGTGTTTGGGATCACACGTTAAAAGGTAAGGCCCCCGTCATTCCTTGCTCGCACAAGACTCTCGAAGACTTCTGAGGGTTGCTCGTAAGGGGGCAACCGAATGACGGATAGAACAATTTTAGAACAAAATTTTTTTAGATCCAAAATATCTGTTGTTGAGGCAGTGAAGTGTATAAACTCAGAATTCGAATCATATGACTGTATTATTCGCGGAAGGTCAGCCTCACCCAATTAAGTTTTGTATGATGCTGCTGTAATGAGAAATATTGAACCAATCAAAAATATTACTGATATTTCGGATGAAGCATTACATAGAAAGTGTCGGGCCAATTTCCAGGAATACTAGAGCTCTGAGGAAATTGAAGGCAGAAGCCACATCGCCCGAGGACTTGCCTGAGCCATCCGAAACTCTCTGTTCATCTAGTCAGCGTAGAGCTCTGCGCGGGCCAGATTTTTGAGGCCCGCCCCGACCCGCATGTTTATGAAATGTAACCCGACCTGCAGCAACCCGCACAGCATAAAATGTAACGCAGGCCCACGCGGTCCGCAGTTGACAACATTTTAGCCCGACCCGCATCATGACCCTCATGTTTACTTAAACTGGGCCCGCGTAGCTCACTTGGCCCGCGTAGCTCATTCGGCCCGCGTGGCTCATTCGGCCCGCGTGGCTCATTCGGCCCGCGTGGCTCATTCGGCCCGCGTGGCTCATTCGGCCCGCATGGCTCACTCGGCCCGCGTGGCTCACTCGGTCCACGTGGCTCACTCGGCCAGCGTGGCTCACTCAGCCCGCGTAACCCACTTATGGAAAAAAACTTCAAACATA